CCGCGGGGCAGCAGAGGCTGCTGATGTTTGGCCAGCTGATGGAGGACGGCCGCACGATGGCCAGCTACGGGATGAACGACGAGGGCGAGGCGGCCGGCGTCAGCCTCTGCCTGCACATGACGCCGAAGGTGTAGAGCGCCTCTTCCTCACTTCCTCCGCCCCCCCCCCCCCCCCCTCCCTCCCCCCTCCCCCCCCCCCCCACCACACAAATTCTCCTTCCTCCGTGTCGGCCCCTCCTCCCTCGCTCCCCCCCCCAATCCTCCCCTCGTTTCCTCCACTCTCCCCTCCACTACCCCCCCCCCAACACCCTCACTCCCTCCGTGTCGACCTCTTCTCCCTTGTTCGTCCCACCCTCCTCCCTCGTCCAGGGAGGAGGACGAAAGGGGAGATGGGGAAGGGGGGGAGGGGGGACGGCGGCGCGGAGCATCGCTTTTGTTGGGTGGACGTGGGCAGGATGGGCCACACCAGAACTCGTCCTCCTCCTCCCCCCCCTCCTCCTCCTCACTCCTCCTCCGCCTCCTCCTCCCCCTCCTCCCTCCCCTACCTGCATCCTGGACGAGAAGAGGGCGGAGGGGGCGGACGGCGAGGGCGTGCAGCCCGGGCGGCGAGCGCTCCGACGCGTCGGACGAGCTGGCTTGAGAGCTTGCCAGCCGCACGGGCGGGAGTTGCCAGCGGTAGCCTCTGGCCCGAGGTCCGGCTCCTAGCTTCTAGGAAGGCACCACCACTATCCCCAAGACGGCCATACACAGAACGGCCATACCAAGAGAGACCACTCGACACTCGCGTAGGCATGCCCAAAACACATGAATTCAGGGTGCCATCGTCCGCTTCTCACGCACGACCAACGACCCCGGCCTTGCGTACGCAGGCCAAGTTTCGCCTCCCAGATCCTTCAGAAGAATTACCCGGGCGAAGGACACAACCAGATGCAGTTGTGAGTAACGCAATTGTGAACATCGTCCTCGGTGGAGCTCCCTATGGGGCCACGGCGCATGAGACGTGCGTGCCAAAATGGGTACGGGTCCGCCATGTGGGTGCTGCCATTGGGACCTTCGGTGGAGCTCTCTATGAGGCAACGAAACGTGTCAGGAGTGCACCACCTTCAGGGGTCGGAACATGCGGGCGCTGCCGCTGGGAGCTCTCCACGGGGCCACGAAACAGTGCGGGGTGCGCCGAAAAATTGCTGAGGCGCATGCAGGCGCTGCTACTGGGGGCCTTCAGTCATGCTCCCTGCAGGGCCACGAAACGTCTCAGGGTTGAGCAGGAATGGGGGGTGGCACCGCATGCGTGCGCTGCCACTGGGGCGTTCGGTGAAACTCCCTATGGGGCCACGAAGCGTGTCAGGGGTGCGCCAGCATGGGTGTGGAACTGGCACTGGGGCCTTCGGTGGAGCTGCGAAAATCAGCGTGAAACCACATGCCTGCGCTGCCGCTGAGGCCTTCGGTGGTGCTCCCTATGGTGCCACGCAACATGTGACGGGTGCGCCGAAATAGTGGGTGCACAGGCATGCTGGCGCTGCCATTGGGGCCTTCCGTGGAACTCCCTATGGTGCCACGAATCGTGTCAGGGGTGCGCCGGATTGCAGGTGGAACCGCATGCGGGCGCTGCCAATGAGGCCTTCGGTTATGCTTCCTATCGTGTGATGGCTGCGACGAAATAGGGGGTGGAGTCGCAGGCGGGCGCTGCCACTGGGGTCTTCGGTGGAGCCCCCATATGGGGTCACGAAGCGTGTCAGGTTTGCGCCGAAATGGGGGGTGGAACCGCATGCGGGCAACCGCATGCGGGCAACCGCATGCGGGGTTGCGCTGAAATCGGGGATGGAACCACATGCGGGCGCTGCCACTTGGGCCTTCGGTTGAGCTCCATATGGGGGCACGAAACACGTCAGGGGTGCGCCGACATGGAGGGTGGAACCACATGCTTGTGCTGCGACTGGGGCCTTCGGTGGTGCTCCGTATTGGGCCACGAAGCGTGTGAGGGGTACGTCGAAATAGGGGGTGGAATTGCATGCGGGCGCTGCCACTGGGACCGTCGGTGCTGCTCTCTATGGAAGCACGGAACGTGTTAGGGGCGTGCCGAATTGATAAGCGGAGGGTCGAGGCAGGGGTGGGAGGAGGGAGGAGGGGAAGGAGGAATGAGGTGAGACGCGGGGCGCTGTCTTTCTCAAATGAGGACCCAACAACACAGGATGGTTGGGAATCAACACGAACCCAATCTCGAGGTCCCAGATCTCCGACGATACAGTCTGGAGTTTCGACTTAGCGTGTCGCTCCGCCAGTTCTGGCTCACCACGCTGCGGGGCGACACGCTAACCAAGTCCCCGTCCCCGACCGTCAAGGTCCCGAGTTTTTCCTGGCCTCCTGCCCCGCGGAGCGGAGCGACACGCTATCAGCTTGAAGGACATGGCGCGTCGCCGGGGCCGCCGCCGCGACACGCTAACCAAAAGTTCCAGACCGTATGAGTTGTTCAATCCGGGCGGTTCTCCTAGATTTCGGCCTCTGGGGCCCGTTCTCTAGCCCTTGCGCCATCAAAAGTGGATCCGGGACGAAAAACTACTCTCAGGGAAGGGTTTGGAATCTTTGGGGCCGCGGATTGAAAATTGTCCTGGCGAAGGATCCAACCATGTGCAGTTGTGAGTACCGCGTTGTGGGCACCGCTTTTGCTGGAGCTCCCTATGGGGCCACGAAGCGTGTGTGTGTGTGGTGTGTATGCCCAAAGTTGTGGGGAACCGCATGTGGACCGTGCCATTGGGGCCTTCGGTTGAGCTACCTATGGGGCCGCCAAGCGAATTTGGGGGTGTGCCCACTTGGGTAGGGGACCGCATGTGGACCCTGCCACTGAGGCCTTCAGTGGAGCTCCCAATGTGGCCACGAATCGCGTCAGGGGTGTGCCGACAAGGGTGGGAAACCGCATGTGGACCGTGCCACTGGAGCTTTCGGTGGAGCTCCCTATGGGGCCACGAAACGTGTGGGGGGTGCGCCCAAATGGGTGGAGGGCTGCTGCCACTAGGACGTTCGGTGGAGCTCCCCATGGTGCCACGAAGCGTGTGAGGGGTGCGCCCACATGCGTCGGGAACCGCATGTGAACCCTGCGACTGGGGCCTTCGGTGGAGCTCCCTGTGCGGCCACGAAACGTGTGAGGGGTGCGCCGACACGGGCGTGGAGCCGCATGCGGGCGCTGCTGAGGCTTTCGATGGTGCTCCCTACGGTGCCACGAAAATTGTGAGGGGTGTGCCATGATGGGCGGGGAACCACATCTGAGCCCTGACACGGGGGCATTCGTTGGAGCTCCATATGGGGCCACGCAACGTGTGAGAGGTGCGCTAAGTTGAGCGGGGAACCGCATCTGGACCTCAATGTTGGGGTCTCCGGAGGAAGTCCATATGGGGCCAAGAAACGTGCGGAGGGGGGGGGAGGGTCGAAATGGGCGGGGAACCGCATGTGGATCCTGCCACCGGGGCCTTCGGTGGAGCTCCCCATGGGGCCACGAAGCGTGTGAGGGTGTGCCGAACATGTTGACATGCAGAGGACAGAGGGAAGATGATGGGAGGAGAGGGAGGAGAGGACTGCCTCTTCAAAACAGAGGACCCCACACCACAGGATGTATGGGAAAACGCATCGTCGGAAGCCAGGAGCCCAAGGTGCCCCCCCAGCTTCTTGGATCGGTGGCGGAGCCGCCGCCAGGGTGGTCAACGCCGATCTGGAAATCCGCGCGGGCCTCCAGAAGTTTCCGTTTATGCAGTTTGGGTTTCTCGAGGGGGCCCCGGGGTTTCTCGTGGCCTCGCGAGGACTGCTTTGTGGGCCCCCGGGGCCTTCTTTAGGAGAAGTTGGGGCCACCCTCGGGCCAGGGCCATCCCTGGCAACTCCCCGGGAGGCCCTTCGCGCCACTGCGCGCGCGGGTCCGCGTCGGAGGCGCGGTGGTGATGAGAGACAGCGGGTCGGCGCTTTGTTCAAGTGAACTTCGTCAGCCACCTCAGCCTCAAAACATGTCACCACCGAGCATCAGCCTCCTCTACATTCATTGTCTTTATCCGAAGCATCGGTTTCAGCCGGAAGCGTGCCATTTCTGTGTTGATCTGAAGTGTGCAAGCTCGTTGGCCCAGAAATTGGCCCATGAGGAAAATGAGGAGGATAATTTTGAGTAGAAGCAGGAAGATGAGAGGAAAAGAGGAAGAGGTTCGCGCGAGATCCGCGCTACCGTTCCTCACAGCATGCACGGTGCAGCCCGCTGGCGCGTGCCTCCCAGGCTTCGCTCGGCGCGACGGAGGGATCCGTCCACACGGTGCAGAACACCAGAGCCCCCACCTGTCCATGCATCGCCGCTCTAGGCTCGGGCAGCCCAGCCTACAGTCGGGTCGCTGAAGAAGGAACCCTTTTCGTTGGGGAGGGGCTCCGTGTTCCTTACGTGTTTCACAGCTTGCCTCAGGTTTTCCTGGTGCTTTCGACGGGAAATCGAAGTTTGACCCATGGAAAAAAGGGGCCTCGTTCCTTATTTAGGGTTCCTTAGGTCAGCGCCCCGACTGTACCCGGGAACGCGCAGCTTCGCCCTCGGGGGGCCTTGCGTTGCTCTGTCGGCGGCGCCTCGCCGAGCAAAAGCCTGCCCCTGCCGCCCCGCACGAGGGCTCCCGGGGCCCTGCAGGCCGAGGGAGGGCCAGCTGAGACAGCGGCAGCTCTCCCGCCCGGCCCCCCGCCCGCTCGGGATCGGCCCCTGGCTCCTCCTCCTCCTCCTCCTCCTCCTCCTCCTCCTCCTCCTCCTCTCCTCCTCTCCTCCTCCTCCTCCTCCTCCTCCTCCTCCTCCTCCTCCTCCTCCTCCTCCTCCTCCTCCTCCTCCTCCTCCTCCTCCCGCTCCTCCGAGTGGGATCCGCTGGCGGCGACGACGAGCCTCCGGAAGGCCCACGGAGGAGCACGAGCGCCGGGGAGCGCCGCCTCCGCGTCTCGGCCGGCCCTCCTCCGAGCGGGGGGGCACCTCGGGCCGTGGCACCCCCCACGGTGTGGGTTTTTCCAGTCCGCGGCCCAAGAGGTCTCGACCCCTTTGTGCGTACAGTACCTCCCCCTGTTGCTGTACGCGGTGTGCCTCTCATCCGTAGTCTTCTCGCTTTCGGAGGCGGCACTTCAGGGGCGTTGGCGTTGATGTCAAAAAAAAAAGTCTCGACCCCTTCCCCGGGGATAGTTGTTCGTCCTGGATCCGCGTCTGAAGGCCCCAGGGCCCGAGAGCGGGGCCCAGAGCCCGAAGTCAATGAAGAGACGCCCAGGCCGGAAGATCACATCCTCGGGGATCTGGGCCCTCCTCCGAAGTTGCCCCCTTTTCGCCCCCTCATTCACAGGCTATGAGGTCCTGGACTGGTTCGCGATTCGATTCGCTTTGGCCCGCTCGCGCGATCCGGTTCGCGATCCGACTGGATCGCGACTCGGTTCGCGATTCGAATCGGCCGGTCGTGATCCAGTTCCTGGTTCGATCCGCAGGCGATTCCCAGCGATCGGGTTCCAGGCGCTGCGATGAATCACGATTTTCCCATCCGATGCAGGGTTGACCTGACTGCTCCGGCCGATCCGTCGGCCGATTGGGATCGGGATCGGGTTGATAGGGTCGGGGGTCGACCGGTGTCGAGCCGATCGGTCGCGATCGGGCTCGTCGATCGATCGGGTCGGCCTGAATCTGGGGGGGGGGCCTGAAGCTCACGATCCCTGCGGGACGATCGCGCACGTCTCCTCCTCCTCCTCCTCCTCCTCCTCCTCCTCCTCCTCCTCCTCCTCCTCCTCCCCCTCCTCCTCGTCCTCCTCCTCCTCCTCCTCCAATTTCTCATCCTCTCCGCTCCTCGCCTCTCCATTCTCGCTCCTCCCGCCTTCCTTCTTTCTCTTCCCTTCCCGGTCTCCTCCCCCCTTCCCTCCCATTCGCCCTAGCCCTTGACCCACCCCTGTTCCTGCTCGTATCCCCCATCCCTCCACTCATCCCTCCGCGGTGTGGGGGGGGTGGGGGGCGTCTCTTGGAGCAGGAAGCTCCTCCACGAGCTCCGCGGAGCTTTCTCGAAAGCCGCTCGTGCCTTTCGGGAGCCGCGTCGCCCCTAGGGCTCTGCTTGCCAATGGACTCGGCACCCGTGGGCTGAGGAGGGGGGGGGGCGGCGCGCGCTCGGAGGCATGGTGACCACTGGAGCGGTCACGGGCCCGTCCGGGAGCAGGGGGGAGTCGCCGTCGGAGGAGGAGGAGTGGGGGAGGAGGAGGAAGAGGAGGAGGAGGAGGAGGAGGAGGAGGGGAGGAGGAGGAGGAGGAGGAGGAGGAGGAGGAGGAGGAGGAGGAGGAGGAGGAGGGAGGAGGAGGAGGAGTAGGAGGAGGAGGAGGAGGAGGAGGAGGAGGAGGAGGAGGAGGAGGGGACGTCTACGATCCGCCTCACCGAGCCTGGGCCCAGGGTCGGCCCAGCCACGATCCGCGAGGCGGAAAGGTCACGTCCCCAAGATGGTCCGCTGATGGCGACCGCGGGCGACCGCGGGCGGAAGGATTACGTAGGGAGGCTGGGGGGGTCGCCTGGGCAGATCATCTCGGGAGCGCCCAGGGCCCTGTCAGGGACATCCTGCTCCCAAGCAAGGTGGGCGCGAGAAATTTTGGAATGATTTATGTGAGTGTTGAGACACCTCGGGCTGGGCAGGCAGGACGTTCGGCGAGGGCAGTCGCAGCTCAGAGGTAGGGTGCCTGGCCGGTCGCTGGGGGTTCGTAGAGAGCGCTTGTTTGGAAGGGTGTGCCGCCCAGACTTTTTTATTCCGCTGGCTACATGTGGATGGGTCTCTGTGAGTATTTGAGCTTCGCGTGTTGCCATCAAAAGCGGAGGTGGGGGTGGTTTTGAGACCTGCTGTTGTTTGTCGGTGGAGGGGCGCCTGGCGGCTGGACCCCCCTGGGCACGGCCTCGTATTTGCCCCACTGGAGCATCTTTCATTCGTCCTGTTTGGCCAGTGGGCTCAGCAAAGCTCTTCGAGGTCTCACACGCTACTGGCCAGCTGTAGACAGGAAATACGCTCCTCCGGAGGAGGAGGCGAAAGGAGAGGAGGAGGTGGAGGAGGAGACAAGGGGAGGAGAGAGGAGGAGGAGGAGGAGGAGGAGGAGGAGGAGGAGGAGGAGGAGGAGGAGGAGGAGGAGGAGGAGGAGGAGGAGAGAGGAGGAGGACGACGAGGAGGAGGACGAGGAGGACGAGGACGAGGAGGGATGATGGAGGAGGGAGGAGCGAGGAGGGAGAAGGGGGGAGGACGAGGATAGAGGAGGGGGGAGGGCGAGGTGGGAGGAAGCAGGATGAGGACGAGGAAGAGCAGCAGGAGGGAGGACGAGGACGATGAGGAGGAGGATGAGGAGGAGGAGGTGGAAAGGGAGGAGAAGGAAGAACAAGGGGGAGGACGAGGGAGCATGAGGAGGAGGAGCGGGGGGAGTAGCCCGCTTCGCCGCTGGCCTTGGGCGGAAGGCCATCCGCTTAGAGCCAGACAACCCCACCTACCTGCACCATAGCGGCCTCGCGTACGAGGCAGCCCGCCACCGGGCGCAGCACCGTGGCTGGGCAGGGACTGCGGGAAAAGGAAAGAATAGTGGAGGAGCAGGAGGAGAAGGAGGATTCCTTCCTCCCTTCCGAAGGAACAGGACAAGGAAGGCGAGCAGGAAGATGGGGTAAAGGATCCCTACTGCCCCTTTCCCCGTTTCCACCTCCTCTCGCCTGCTCGTGCGTGACATGTTCCTCTTCTTCCTCCTCCTACTCTTCCTGTTCCTCGAATGGCGCGCGATCGCAGGATTCGGGTCTAAATTTAACGGCACAGAGCCCATCTAAATTCAGCAGAGCATCAGATGTCGGAACAGTGCCCACGGGGCGTTCATTCTCGTAGGCAGCACTCCAACGTTGTGAGACACTTGGAGGAGGAATACGACAAGGCCTACAGCATCAAATAAGGGTAAAGCATGTGGCATTGAATACAGTGACCTAGATACACAGATCGACATGCATGTTGTTTGCACGAGCAGCTGCAGCCGTGAGAGAGCACGGGATGCGACTCATGCGCGGCCACGTACAGAAAGAGAAGAGCACGATAATTCTCAAGTGCCGCGACGGTACCTATCATGAAGTACCCCCAGCAGGTTGCACGGAAACGGTTACTGATGCCATGCATACAGCAGCTTATAACGATCAAGTTCGTTTGACAGTGGTATGTTGCGCCTTGCTGCCATCCAAGGTATATTGGCGCTGGCGGAACAAAAAATGAAGCGGCATACGACATGAATTCCGAACCGCGAATGCAAAGTAGGACGTATGATTGGTTTCAACGAAGGGTACCCCGCCTGCTAAATTGCACTGGATGGTTAAGCCCAAGCCGAAATATGAAGGCGAGTACGGCTCCAATGGAAAGAAAGCCACCACTTCCAACTGATCCCATCTCAGACATGGCGGACGTCTCAAGGTGGCTCTGGGACAACCCAGAATCCGCGAAGGATGACGTCGTCAACTTAGTACAGGGCTTCAAGCACGCTGCGGAAACATGTCTCCGATCAGCTAGGGCGGCTAGGGACTTCCACGGGGCGATGAAAATGAGATTTTGTCCGCGGCAAAGGAGCGGACCAGACGATGGTGTCAGATGCGAAGGGGGGTTGCCTGGCGGGGAAGCCGGAGTTGGTGGACATTTTCACCACTTGCAAGGAACACACCATCTGACCGTGCTAATGTATGTTGTCGTTGGCACTGCTTGCCGAGAGGCGGCAGGGCGGTCGCATTATGAACGCGGTTCCGCCGCATTCGGGCGCTATGAAAACGAGAACAAATCGGACCTCAGGCAAAAGGCATGCAAAAAATGCGGGGAACAGAGATTGTGAAGATCACATCCGACAAGTTTGTTCCAAAATATATACAAACGAAGTTACACGCGAGCTAGATTTGAGCAGCGCGACGGGCCCGATCGGCGCCAAGAAGTTGCATGATACATTGTTGCATAACGGGGATGAACATGCGAAGGCGGAGTTCATAGCCCCGGTCAGGGCGTTGAAAATTCGCGGCAAGGTGCACGCCGCGCGGAGTGTATCGAGTCAAGCGAGAACAGAGCAAAGCCGTTCAAGCCTTGATGCGCGTGCTAACAGGGTCGCGACAGCCCAACCAAGTTGCGCGCGTGGCGGGACATGTGGCACTGGCGGGCCTCATCACGGCTTCGCTGCGATACATGATGAGAGCGTGGCATGGCGATTTGGGCGCCCAATGTCACGGCAGCCGAAGTCAGATCAAGAATCTGGCCCATCGCGCAAGCCACCCACAAAGCAGTCATGGAGCTCGGGAATCAGGGCCTGCAGATCGCTGCGAAGTCATTCTCGGTCAGCAGCGATGCCGCCACCAGGACCAGCGAAATAGCCACGTCACAGGTCTTGGGGGCGCCGACTGCCCGCAGTTAAAAGGGCCAGACCTTGGCATTGACAAGGCCGGCAAAGCAAAGGAGCGAAGGGTGGCACATCAGAATGGGAGAAAAAACGCTTGCACGGAGACTGCGGAGGGCGAGCATCACGAACCCCAGGCCCGACGGACTCGGCGACTCGAGGCGCCAGGCTTCACGGGGCTTCGCACTCTGGATCCTCGGCGCCCGCGAGCAGCGCGCGACCCCCGCGACGACCGCGGCCAGCGAGATGCTCGACAGCGCCCCTCGACTCGGAGCGCGAAGACACCCGCGCCACCACCCCGCGGCAACATCTGCAGAGTGGGTTTGGCGCGCGGGCGAGACGGCCCGACCTGCGAGGCGGCGCCAAGATGGCGCGATGGAGAAATAGCATCGGTGAGCTTCTACTGCGGCCACAAAGGCGCCGATGAGCCACTGCGTAGAGGCGGGGAAGGAAGCGCGCTTCCTTCGCGAAGGGCGCGCAGGCGCGGCGGGGCGGAAGGGGCCGACCACGGGGCGGGCGCGGAGGACAATCGCAAGACGTTCATCGACCGCGACCAGGCCGGCGACCCGACCACCTTGACTGGGACCCTTACAAAAGACACCAGATTCAGCGCGGGGAGGATATCAGATGGACACAACAGCAACACATGATGCACGCAGCCAGTTGGCCACGCTGGTCTGAGAAGACACCTCAATTCAATTGAAAGCCGGGGGCGACACACCGAGCACTGCACACTTCTAGCAGCGGCGCGCGCAAAATGACGCCATCACCGAGCGCGGGGGGGGCGCGCCGCCGGGCGAGATTGCAGGGCGCGCGACGAGCCAGGCAGCACCAGGCGAATGGTTAACCGAAGATACGCAGAGGTCTTTCGTCTTGGTCACGCGGATTCACCTCGAGGAAGCCGGCAAGCCCTGAGCCTCGCTAGACGGGGCCGACGAAGGCCAGCGTCGGAAAGCGCATCAGAATGCACGCCAGAATCGCCGGCCCAAACACGACTCCCCGGCGGCCTCCGGAGATTGCAGAGGAGGGGCCAGGTCTGACGACCCGAGGCGCCGGAGGCGCGGTGCATCCCGGCAGGGCACGGCTCGAGCTCGGCGACGCCGACAAGTGCACGCCAGCGGCAGCTGAACGAGAGTCGCAACCAGGACCGCGCCGAAGCAATAACTGAGCGCACAAGGGGCCATCTTGTCATTGCTTGCAAACCACGAGTGGACGCTCGCGCTATCGGGCCGACTCCGGCGTTCGCTGGGCCAACCGGGCCAAGCAAAATGCAGCGGGCGAAACCGCCATGCCCCAACGGCGCGGACGACGCCCCAATGCGCGAGATGCCGCGGGCGGGCTCAGACCCCAACCGGCGACTCCAAGCTTCGCTGGGTCTCTTGAAGCCCCAATGAAAAAGTACCGGCCGGCCCTGCGAAATTGGCCCGTCGTTGCCGCAGGCCCTTCAGGAGCCGCTGAGACGTCTATTTGTTCGGTCCGTACGTTCGCAAGCGCTGCCGCGCCCCGTGATCTCGAGACCCCAGAGCCTCGGTTCAAGCGGGTCGCGTGCCCCAGCGCCCTCTTCCCATTCCGCCCCCGCCACGGTGTGGGACTTGCCCACGCGTTCCGTTCCTCTTCCGCTCCCCATCTTTTCTCTTTCTCGTCGCAGTTGCTACGTTGATTTGAGTCTCGGCACGGCGCGGCCCCTCTGGCGGCAAAGCCACCCATGAGGACATTGCCCAGCTGCCCGCGGGAAGCCCCGCCACCGCGCTAGCGCGCCACTCTGCGCGACGACCTCATGCTCCTCGATGAAGCCGCAACATGCAACACTCTTTCACATCCCCACGCTACGGGGCTCTCTCGCCGCGTCTGAAATTGACCGTCTGAAATTGACCCCCGCGACGCGCGGCTGCCCTTGGAGCGCGCCAGGCACGCGCGCATGTTCATTCCGCGCGCACTACGCGCGCTTTCTCTGCGGCGCGCGCGCATTCCCAGCGCGCTCAACGCGCGCGCGCCCCATGCACGCGACGCGCCCATGCTCCGCGCGGTTCTTTGCCACGTCCGAGATGCAGGCTTGAAGTGAACGCGTGCCGCGTGCATGCGCTCGTTGGCTGTGCACGTTATGGGCATCTGATATCTCTGTCGGCTAGCGACGCACGCGCTGTCGACAGGCGTTCACGCATGCCCGCCGCACACGTCGTTGACGCGCGCTCTTCACGCGCGGCAGCTTGCGTGCACGCGGTCGCGCCAGGTTTCATGTCCGCTACGGTTCGGTACGCACGGTGCTTGCATATATGTTCAGCGCGTGCTTGGGGCGCACGGCATGCGCGTGAGAATTTCGCGTCTTTTATCTGCGTCGATAACGGCCGCCTGCATGTCGCGCGCGCTTTGTGATTACGCACATTACGAGCCCCGCGGCATACTCGCGCCGTTCACGCACCCCCTGCACGCGCGCGGCCGCCGCACGCAGCGCGGAGGGCAGCTAGGTTTCCTTTCGATGCCCAACCGATCCCGTGCGCCCAGCGCGCGTTTATACGAAAATGCCCCGGACACGCACAGAACGGCTCCCCCAAGAGGTCAAGACGAGTCTCATGTGGAAGCCGCATGGCCTTCATATGAAGCCCGTATGCTTTATTTCTGGACACTTGGTGGCTGCCCTTGGAAAATTGATGGGTTCCCACGTGATACAGACGCGCTTTCAATATGAGAACCGTTCGACCCACGCGGAGCCACATGGCTCCCACGCGAGAGCACCACGGTCATTACACGGAGGCCATGCGGTCACCATGCGGAGCCCATATGATACATGATACCAACATGGAATGCCAAGAAAGCGTTCATGTCGAACCGCTCGATGTCGAAACGAAGCCTTGCAAAACCGCACTCGGAAACCATGCGACCCCCGTGCAAGTCCAGATGACGATCACACGATGTGCGGCGCTGCGGTTTCACCCCCACGCGAAAGCCACATCGCCTTCATGCAGAGTTGCCGAACACATGCGCGCCATGTGCCCCCCACGTGCAAGGTCCCCATTCGACTCCCTCATGGACGCCGAACGAATCCCAGATGAATGTTGGCTGCATATCGCCCCACATCGCACGTGTGAAATCCGAGTCAGTAGTATTACATGGCCGAGGGTC